GCCCACACTGATCCAACAATCGACTCACTTACCCAAACAACAACCACCGTCACAGCCAACTCCAATCGGTCAATCAACCCGCTGACCCCAAGAACAACCACCGAGTGCAAAATCTAGGTCAACATGTCGAGCCAACCAACCCAATCTTCCATGTCAAACCAGTCTGGTAATGTAAGCGATGCCACGGAGGTGCAAACCCGTCGATCCTCAAGAGTCACTACCCCCATGAAGCGATCTGGAATGATTCAACCCTCACCTGATTCCCGTCGAACAATCACCCAGCCACTTCTGTCAGAAAGAACATCCATTGGAACCAGTAGTCAACCCAAAAAACAAACCAATGTGCCCTCTGAATCAGATTCAATCCCTCACGCTACTCCTGTTCAGTCTCAGCAAACACGCAAGAAAGTTCCCAAAAAACCCAAAAAAACAGGCCCAGCTGCTGCAAATTCTGAATCAAACACTACTGCCAAGGACGTTGATCTTGCTCAAGACTCTGATGAAGAAAATTCTAAAGTCAAGAAACGCCAACGAAAAAATCCAGAAGAGGATGACGTCAAAGTTTTTTTTTCAGAACTGTTTCGTCGTAAAGATGATGTAAGTCTAAACAATATCATATAATTCTGTCCATGAATCAAAATTGATTTTTTCTATTCCTTTTTTTTCAATTTTTTGAGCCGGCCGATAAACCTGCGTCAACCTATAGCTGTTTGTGGTGCAAGAAAGAAGTCAGGGTTTCAGCGTCTAGTCTTTCGAATCTTCGTGTGCACCGTGATGGTTCTCGTCAAAGTGGAAGGGTCTCGGATGGATGTCCAAATCGTGCCAAAGCTATTGCCGCTGGAGCGAAACTTCCACCTACCTCCCTTGAAGAAGAAAAAAAAAAGAAGAAGAATGGAAATGGCGACCTAACGACTCATTTTGCCAGAGTGGAAAAGTTCGACAATACTATCTTAAACCAAATCGTAGTTCTGTGGCTCTTACGTCAGTCGATACCTTGGAATCGAGTGGAAGATCCATACCTTAAAGCGGCGTTTAATTACTGTGAACCAGCTGCAATACTCTTCAAACGAAAATGGGCGGCAACCGGGGCCAGAAAGGCGTATTTGGAATTGCAAGAGGCAATGCTTTATTGCTTAAAAGTAAGTAGTCTATTCCTAATAATCATTCAGAAGGATTTACTTACATTTTTCATCTTATTTACCCTCAGGCAGCCAATAGCAAATTTTGTTTAATACATGACGTATGGACAACCAAAGGAAATCACTATGGATTCATTGGTGTATCAGTATCTTTTATTGATAACGATTGGAATTACGTGGTGCTTCATCTGAGCATCAAGTTGGTTTCCTGGTTACATCAAGGGAGATATTTAGCCGAACCAATTATAAACATATTGAAGAAGCATCAACTCATCAATAAGATAAGTAATCTCAACTTGTGATCCATTTTCATAATCAAAGGGAAAAACTAATTTGTCTTCTTCTCATATATACATGCTTTGTCAGACCACCGATTCTGGATCAAATAACATGACCATGGCTGAAACAATGCACGAAAAACTGCTTGATCTGGGAGAAAACACCGATTTCGAATGGGACCCTAAGACAATGCACATTAAGTGTTTTTGTCATAAAATGGCTCTTGTTGTGAACGCTGGTTTGAAGGAATTGGGTCTCGAATCACCGCCACCACCGAAATTGAAGAAAGCATTCTTAGGTTCTTTCCCCTACTCCAATAAGATGCCAAAGATAACCGAGGAGGACGAAGATGGTAACGAAGGTGACGATGAAGATGATGATTCAAACGATGGTAGAAGTGATTGTACCGAGGATGAAAAGGAGAACTCAGATGACGACGACAATGACGATGATGAGGACGATGATGATGACAATGACAATAGCACTGAGGACGAAGGAGAAAACGGGAAAAAGGACGGGAAGAAGAATGGAAAAAAGGACGGGAAGAAGGATGGAAAAAAGGATGGGGAGAAGGATGGAAAAAAGGACGGGAAGAAGGATGGAAATAAATCTTCCTCAAAGGCCAATAGGAATGATTCTAATGACTTGAATGAGTTGACTACCGCTGTGAGTCTTTTTATCTCTTGTATTTTTTTACATACTGACCAATCAAATTACATTCATAGTTGGACTTTGTGGTAAAAAGATCACCGGCTCTTGCGTCTGGAGACAAGAATTTGAGCGAAGAGCAGCCGGAAAAGGTTTGAAGAACTTGATTGCTGGTTATGGAATTCGTTGGAATATAAAATATGAAAGTCGAACTCGTGCCTATGATGCCAGAGATGTATGTTATTTATTTTTTTCTACCAGATACATTTACTAATATTCTCAAATGTAGGTCATCGATTCAATACTACTTGCTGAGTATGAAAAATATCAAGATCAAAGAGCCAAATCTAGCCGCAAGGAAAATCCCAAGAAGCTCAGTCACTTCAAGGAGATTCAGTTCACAAGGAAGGAATGGGCGACAATTAATGAATTGAATAAAGAGTTAGAAGTAAGTAATTTGTGTAATATTAATATATTCAAATCCTAGTTACAATGCTGAATTTTATATTTCAGCCTTTTAACCTCCTGACTAAACTTATGGAGGGTGATGGTCCTACAGGTGCTTTTGTCTTGCCGAACTATTATTCTACAATCTCAACTTTGAAGAAGAAAGAGGACAAATGCAGCCGAGGACACGCAATGCATCCAATGTATGTTAAAATGATCAAGAAACTCGAGATCTACCAAGACGAGGCGCTCGAGTGTGAAACTCTCATTATGGCTACCTTGCTCCACCCGTCATTCCGATTAGGGCTATTCACCCATTGCTGGCCTGAAAAAGTGGATGTGGCCAAGAAAATTCTGGAGAAAGAATTTGTGAAGCGTGTGGAGGTTCTGAAGAAGAAGAAGGAAGACGATATTCAAATAGTCGAAAAGAAAACTCCTCCGGTTGAAGAAGATGACATTTTTGAAATGTTCAGCAAGCCTGCAAAATCAACAGAAGAAAACAAAGAGCTCAAGGTATATATCAACAACATGGATCGCCTCCCAGCCATCTCTCCGAAGTGTCCCAAAGCGCTTTTGTTATGGTGGAAGGTATGAATTTCTCTTTGTTTTTCACCTGCATTAAGTTATTAATCTCATTATGATTTTCTTTTTTATTTTTATTTTTCAGGATCATGCATCCACCTATCTGGTTCTTGCATCGTTAGCCAAGGACTACTTGGCATCTTCTGCATCCTCATGTGCAGTTGAGCGTACTTTTTCCTCAGCTGCTGATGTTTGTTCAACTGGACGTGGATCATTAAAACCACGAACAATTGAAAGGTGTGTTAGTAGTCATATGTGGTTGAAAGAAGGTATTCAAGTTTCTGGTGATTATGCACAAGCACAAACAGTTGTTAGATCTTACATGGATTTTTCCAAAAAGAAACAGTAGAATATTTTCCATCTGTGTTTTTTTACGCCTTTTACTATCTCTTTTTATCACTAATGCTTGATCATGCTTAGCCAGAAAAAAATTTCTTCCAGTTAGTCTTTCTTTTTATTATTTATTCCTAAACATACCTAACCAAAAAAAAAACCAAAAAAAAAATTCTTGATTTTTAGTTGATGATTTGTCCTGCTCCAGAATAAATGCTTGGTTTTTTTCTTGCTTTTTTCCCAAGTAATTACCTGAAAATCATTTTTTGATGACCATTTCCCATCACATCTGAGCCCCCTACACATTATTATGACTCAGTTTTCAGTTACGCTAACAGTTAGTGTAACTTTTTGATCAGTTACGCTAACAGTTAGTGTAACTTTTTGATCAGTTACGCTAACAGTTAGTGTAACTGAGGGGATCACTACGCTAACAGTTAGTGTAGCTTATCAAAAAGTTACACTAACAGTTAGTGTAACTTTTTAGCCCACTAACCACGCTACAATTCCACTAACAAGGGATTTGGTTAGTGTTAGTTTGGATTTTTTTCAGTCAGCTAACGCTACGCTAAAGTTTTTTTTGATTTTTTTAGAAATCCTGTAGTGTTAGTGGCCCAAAATTTTCGCTAACAGTAACTTTTTTGTAGCATAGCTTAAAAAGCTAACACTACGCTACACTAACACTACGGTTAGCGTAACTGGCCCACCGTTGTTTAAATCCATCAAATTTTGCCATCAATGTGTTGAATCTTTTCTCATTATTATTTTCTATGACTAACAATTTAGCATTGATGTCCGCAATTGGCTGTTCATTCAAGTTAATGAGGTAGTCTATCTTCTCATTAACTTCTCTGAGTAATTCATGCTCCAACTTAAGCTCAGAGATTTTTGCGTGACAAGAACAAATATTATTAGTGTTCAATTGTTGGTCTTGTAAAAGTATGTCAGGTGCACTAGGATGACAACTTTCTTTCCCTTTACCTTTGTCTTTATCTTTTGTTGGAAACAAGTCAGGTGACTCTTTCCTTGGTTCAGCAGATTCCAATTTTGAAGAAGATCCAACTTCAGGATGAGGAGTCAATTTATTGGTTAATTTCTCAAAGAAATTGTCAGTCTTATTTTTATTTTCTTCCAATTTATCATAAACAAGACTAAAAAGATTGTCAAAGGCTCTTTTGGACAAATCTTCTCTATTACTGAGGGCCGTCACAATATTTTTAATTTCTTTAATATTATGGGACTCAGAAGAGTTGGAAAACATATTACTAAGATTAGACAATTTCTTATTAAGAGAATTAAAATCAGACTCTGAAGCTGACCATTTTTTTGCTGAAGCTTCTAATTGTGGGAGGGATCTAATAATATTTTGTAACATGGCAATAGAGTTTTCAGAAGAAAATAATAGAGACTTAAACTTAGGATTGAATGTGTCAAACTGGTGACTCAATTGATTTGTTATACCTACTGTGACATCTGAGTTGATCTGCTTGGATAACAAGGCTACATTATTATCTACAATTTTTTCTATACTCAGGAAAAGTTTTTGGAGAATTGGTACCAACTCATCACTTGTTAATTTTTTGGAGTCTGTGCGCCCTCTCGGGGTTGACAACGATTCTCGCCCCCTGCGTTCTGATTTCTCATGGCCTCGAGCGCTTGAAATTGAGCCTGAGTCGTGCGGTTGAGCCTTATCATCTCTTGGTGGATTGAGAGTTGGTGGGACCTTCGACGTCTCTCCCTCGCATTTGCCTCCCAAGAGTCTCGGGGGGATCGCTTTAGAGTCGGAGGAGGAATCCAATTTGGTCCCTTTGCCTTCCTGTTGTTTGGACGGCTGCGGTTGCTTTTCGTAGCTTGATTGCTTTCCTTTTTTCCTGTCTGTTGAGGAGGAATCGGCGGTTCCGCTTGGGCCGTCTGGTTGTTTACCCATTGTTGAGGTGGGTAATAGCCTTGCTGGTAAGTCGAGTATTCCTGGTTGTACCCCTGTTGGGGCCAACACTGATTCTGAGCGGGCTGATTCATCGGTTGGTACGGGTAGTAGTAGCCGTTCGGATGATAGTACATCTGAGATTGAGGCTGGTGTTCCGCTGGTTGATCTTGAGGTTGGGGGTGAGACCGCTCTGCCTCCGGTGGTTGCATCTGCACTTCGGGTGGCGGAGTCGGAGTAACTTCGGTCCCTCTCTTCTTCAAGAATTGACGGCCCTTCTCTCCGTTCAAATACTCCTCGAACTCCGAGGTTGGATTCCAATTGAACAACTTCAGGAACTCTTCCTGGCTGATCGAGTGTAGCAGGTTGGTTTGTAGATTCGCGGCTGCTCTTAGCGCTACTACTTTCAGAGACTCGTTGTTTGTCTTTTTCGCTCGACGGTAATATTCTTGATTCAGCTTCACCGCTTGAAGAAGCGGATGATATGCTGGAGGATATCTTAGCAGCGTGTCTTCCTCTAGGGGCGCCGGTAAGGTCTTGTGCCTCGACCAAAGTTGGGCGGTGGCTCCTAGTGCGAGACATGTTACAGATAGAACTTGTTAGATGATTGCTTAATAGGTGGTATGGACAGAGGATGTAGGCTAACCAGTTATGATATCAAGGTCGCTACCGTCGCTCTGTATGACCGATGAGGAGGAGGTATGAGAGCTATCTGGATGGTCGGACGACCTCGATGATACTGATCGGACCGTTCGGCCTTGCGGAACGAAGTAGTTATCTAATTTTTTCTGAGTCGATCGATCAACCGGTTCGTTGAAAGTCTTGGGACCGTTCAGCAAGATTTTGGCTGCTTCGGAAACTGAGTTAACGGAAGAAGGAGGTTTGACGTTCCGACTAGATTGATCGCTAGCGTTCTTCGTGATCGGTTTGCTAGGAGAATCAGTGACTATGTCTTTTGGAGGACTTTGATCCAACTTCTTAAAAGTAAGATGGCTGATCGAGTCCTTATCGATGAGCTTAGAGATCTTCTCGTTACTCTTAAAGGGATCAATTTGGGGGGACGGGTCGTCAAGCTGGTTATTTTTCTTCTCACGAGTGTCAGTCGGATGAACTTTGTTTGGGTGATCGTTCTCCTTCGTTTGAGTCTGATCGACTTTAGCAGAGGTCGAGATCTTCTTAGCCTTAACTACTGCCTTGGCTGGCTTAGTAGCGGGAACAGTCGGAGGACGAGGCTCGCCTTTCTTAGCTGAAGAGTCGGAGTCACGGTCCCACTCGGAAGGCACGACTTCGGGGCTCTTGAATTGTTTCTTTGGTTTCTTCGGGGTCGTTCTAGATTGCTTGCTCGGTTTGGAGCGAGTGCCTTCAGAGGCCGAGACGGCTTCGGAGTAGGTTTTAGCCGCGGTGGTCTTAGGTTGCGATTGGGAGGACACTGCCGAGAGCAATTGGGTAACCAGCGAGAGATGTTTTGATCAGAATCTCTGGAGAACAATCTAACTAGGACAAAGCTTTATGACTCACTGTTAATACAGTTTTTTGGCGACAAAGAGTTTGTACAGTGATACGAGTTGGAGTGATTAGGTGATCGATTGATGCCTGGAGAGTGTAGCTGAAGGACAGATCTGTTATAAGCGGATCGCAAAGGATCAACTTCTGAATGAGTTATATCTAGACCCGAGATCTGAGTTAGAGAAAGTCAGACTACACGCACCTATATAATTCAGAAGTTTCAATCTGAATAACTCGAGTGCGGAGTGAGATGTGTTGAACTGATCTGGAAAAAAAAGAAAAACTGATCAGTAATTATTCTGAACAAAAGAATAATTTTTCAGGTTTTGGTGGTACACAGGAAAAATTTCCCGGCCAGACCCCCAGTTGTCAGCTCCGGTCTCTTATGTGACCAGGAGTTGATAGGGTTTTTGGGTCACACTATAGCCAAGAGGGCCAGTGGAAATAAAGTCCAACTCTACACTGGTACAGTGGAGGGACTGGCTCCTTATAAAAATAAGGGACAGCTGTGGAATGAGCTTCACAGTGCCTGAGCTCAGTTAATATAAGAGAAAAGGGTTGGTACTAGTCTTATAAGTTAAATAAGTAACTTATAAGGCTAGTAATGAGTATAAGGAAAAGAGTAATTAATATGTTAAGACTATTGTAAAAACCCCACTCACTATTTATTAGTGTTTTATTTTAATATCTAGTAAGGTGATTGGGTTTGTATGGTAATAATGTCTGGGGGATGAATCTCAGGGGGAGAGGCATCCTCTTAAATATTACATAGCAGGGGTCAATTCTGCTGCTGGGACCGGTGCAGTCCCCTTATTGTTACACTTTTCCTTGGGGGAAAGTGTCAGGATATTCAGAGCATGATAAATGTACATGTGTTGAGTATCCTTTATTTCAGAAAATATCATAAGAGAGATAAACATAATAAACATACACACAAGAGAGGTAAATTGGATAATCATCTCTTGGATACACCCAGGAGATAATTATCCTTTTCAACTTGATTATAATTTTCATGGAAGAGGTAAATTAATAAAGAGGTGAATCTTTATTAATTTACAGAATAATTATTAACATAAAAAATACATGTAAAAAGGGATAACATTACTTAATAATTATTAACTTAAAGATTACACATAATAATAATTGTTATGTAACCCAAGGGGGTTACATTCTATTGTAGACACCTGGGCTAGTGTCTCAGTGTCTGACAGATGTCCTGTGCTGTAGTTGTTGGATATGCCCACCAAATTGGTGATTTTATTCTTTCCACACATTTGAACATGGATCCACTGCGTTGGGGCAAGTTCAACCCATAGGGATCTCTAGTTCAGTAAAAAAAATGAAAATATGGATTAACTGATTTTTGTGTTCAAAAAATTGCAAATGAAAGCATTTGTATGATTATTTGGATATTTGATGCTAGAGCTAGAATATGAACCATCCAATTTCCTTACTGACAGGATATCACAATGGGTTGTGGGCAAATCACATTGTGTCAAGTTTAGGTAGTAACACTGATGGCTTCACACAAAATGCCTCCCATCTAGGGTAGCGCTCTAATGCATATCTCAGCATCTTCTGTATGACCAACATGAGATACCCAGAAAATAAAAGCCAGAATTTTCAGTTTTTGCCTAAGATTCCTTTTTTTTTTTCTTGGACTTCATGCATGTGATTTTCCAGAATCACAGATATATAGGCCATGAGAGAGCTAACCTTGCAAGCTGGTTTTCTGAGGTTGAATTGTGAGCAATAAGTTTGGGGAAGTAGAATGCTCTCACTTCAGCTATTAGGTTTTATATGAAATAGTGGGCCTTGAGCTTTGCGTTGAGCTTTGAGCAACTTGATTGAAAATACCAGATTGGAAAAACAATTTGAGATGGTTGACCAAGTTTGATTTCTTGGATTTCTGTGTTTCCTTAACCTTTCTTATCAATTCATCATATATCTCTAAATGTATCAATAACTTATCAACTGGAATAACATGTTTGTCTTCCAACCCTTGTGAACTGCTAATTTCAAAGATGATGATGAGTTTGAAATGTAGATAGCCCTGGTGCATTCCTCTTTGTGTTGGGTTACTCTTTTTAGGAGCTTGTGTATCAACTTGATAAGTGGAATACATAAGATGACTTACCATTGATTGAAATCAGATTCATCCTGAGCAGTACAGACACCTTGTGCTCCCTTCCTCCTTCAAATCAGTGCAAGTCTTGCCAGCATGCACTCAAAGTAAGAGTGAAGAGCTTTTCTTAAGGTAGTCCTTGGCCGCATTTCATCCCTGTTGAAAGTTGACAAACAGTGTGAGAAAGAAATTTGAATGGAATCCAAGAGAGTGTGTTTCTTCTTATGGCCCTTGCTATCTAACCAAAAAAGAACTTTTGTCCACCTAGAGGATGAATTATTGCAAAATAAACAAATGGAGGATCATAAGGATGAAATCTTCCCTCCATAACCAATGATACTAATAGGAGGGAGGCCACATAGATCAATTAAAATATTTCAAGCTGTAAACGAAGTCTAAGAATACAAGGTCGATTATTTAGTGGGATGTTGGTTGTCCCATAAAGTACGAACAACCATCTTGGACTCTAGATTCTGAGCCGCATCGTCATGATCTTGATCTCGCAAGACAAATTCCAGCTGTCTTTTCTCATCCGGCCTGAGAAAGAAGTCATTTGAAGGCAGTTTTGTCGTCATGTCTTTGAAGTAACCTCGCACGCCTAACGCAAACAACATCAAACAGGCAAAAAAGTGGTTAGCGGGTTCAGGCAGCAAAAAACAAGTCACCCGAAACTACCGAATTAAATGAGTGAGAATTTACCTGGAGGGTGCTCAACTGTTCATCACGGAGGGGAAAGGTCGAGATCGTGCTTTAGTCAGCTTGATCGATTTAGGTTTACGTGGCGGCCAAGTGATGTCAGAACGTACCATTGACCCAAGCAGCAACACCGCCACTTGCGACTTCTACTGAGACCTGATTATGGCCGATCGGCCGACTCTGGACCTTAGTGGCGCGCAACTTACAATCTCTTAGGGCGACGGGGTGGAAGAATTGTTCGTTGGTGTATTTGCCATCGCTAGTGGTCATGGTGAGATGCATCCAAGCGTCATTTGGAGGGTGACCATTGGGGACGATCGTCGAGAGACCCGCAGAATGATATAGGTGAGTCGAGTTGAGTGATCCGACTGAGAATTTCTTCGTCGTTTTCGACAATTGTCGACCCGCAAAATCGTACCCTTCAAAGTTTTTAATCAGAGAGAAAGAGAAAAAATCAGCATGGGTGATTTTTTGAAATGTTGACTGTTGGCTTGTACTTACAGGTCCATTCCGCGGTACCTTCGACTGCTTGCCTGTTGAAATTAATCCCGAGTTAGATCAATTTAAGGTGGATTTGCTAAGAGAACCGGGGACTGACCAAAGGTCAGAGGTAACATAAATGTCCAAGGTATTATTTGTCTGATGAAAGATGGGCGAAATGATGACATGGGATTGGACGCGTTCGGCGAGGTAATGGAAGATCTTCCATCTTCCGGTATATTCTATCGACGACCAACTTTGACCCTCCCACACGTCATTCACTGGGTGATATGATTATGGTCAGGTTCATTAATTCAAGCCTTTCTGGTCAAGGAGATGGAAATCACTCACGCTGCCAGTAGAGTGCACCTATTGTGTGGCACAGACAGAAGTGGAATTTCATTGTCAGGGGGGGCATGCACCGTCATACCTTGAAGAGCGGACTTACCCATGTTGTTTTCGCCGCGGCTGGCTCCCAACCGGTAGTAATGAATTTCTGAAGCCATGAAAGCGGCCTGGAAGACTGATGAAGCATATTTTACGTGGTTCAGATCACCAAATAGATTGAGGATATGTAGTCGAAGTACATACCCTGAGTAGAGTAAGACCACTGAGCCAAAAGTGTGTGATAATCGCCGGTGATGTTTGGGGTAGGATAGTGTCTCGTCACCCCAGTGGTAAGCTGCATCTGACCGTCATCTGCTGGCCATGGATATACAAGAGATTCTGCAGGGTTGTGCTAAAAAATCGAGGATTGGAATGAGACAGAGCAGGGATGAAAGCGGCATATGCGAATTGTTCTAATAAACAACTTACTTTTTCATGAGCCCGGATTACAGTAGAATTGAAATCGTAGTCCTCAGGGGATTCAAGGATACGATCCCAGGTATAAATAGAGGGCATCGAATGAAAGCCAAACTGTGCCCCAAAACAAATTGAAGTTTGAGTTCAACACTTGCCCTCAAAAACACCAATAAACCAGGACATCTAGTCCACTGACCTCGTTAACAAAGCGGGCGACTGGATAAGATGTGATGTCAAAACTGGCGGAGGTATTGTAGTTGTAGTGCTCCTTGTCGCCATAAAGCTCTCCGGGCGTGGAGTTATAGTAGCGGGAGACGTATGGATCAAGCGTGAAATAACTGGTTCCACACAACATAATCATAGTTAGCGCTGAGTCAATTGGCAAAAATTAGGAGGAGGAAAAGAAAAACAATACCCTTGAGTGGTTGACGAGGGAATGTATGATATTGAACGTGTGTTATCCAAGACAAGGTCTCGCAAGACGTCTTCAAGAAAACCGAGCCTTAGCTGCAATTCGACAACACAAGCAATATTTATGTTACTCACGATTGTTGAGATGATCATACTGGTTGAAGTAGATTGAACCATTTGCCCAGGTCTTATTAACGTCGATTAGATATCCTTCTCCCTAATTAGAAAAATAAGAAACTCAGATTATTAAAAAACGGCCCAGCCGCACAATTAGAGGCTTCTTAGGATTTCATTTACCTCATTATTACCGGCCCATAGAGCGGTGCTAGGATGACGATTCAACCTTGCGACATTCTCAGAGACTTCTGCGCGGATGTTATCCAGAAAGGATTCAGGGGACAAAGGATAAGCGCCGCAGGCAAAGACACTTTCCGACCAAGCCAGGATACCGAGCTCGTCACAAATCTATTGAGGAAATTTGGTTGAGGTTAGCAATTGATGGTCGGAATTGAAAAATAGCCAACTCACGTCGTAAAACTCATCGGTCTGATAGGCACCACCACCCCAAATCCTGATGACGTTCTGATGGGCCAACAGGGCAGATTCGATTAGCCAGCGAATGGTGGTAGAATTGGTACGAGCGGCAAAATTGTCGATCGGGATCATACTATGGGTCAATCACATCAAGTTCAGTTCAAGTCCACAAGGCTAAACCAGCAAGATAAAGATGCGGTACCTGGAACCTTGGACATAGAAGGGCTTGCCATTGACGATGAAAGTAAAGCGGGTACCAGGCTGAACTCCACGAGAAACCTCTTCCTGGGTATATCGACTCTGATCAACGACGATAGTTCGAAACCCGACTTTCTCCTTCCAAGTCAGCCCTTCATCTATGCTCGAGCTTGCACGTTGGCCTTCAAGTTTCAGCGTCAATTCGAGATCATACAACTTGGGGTTTCCCAAGGTAGCAGGGTACCAAAGCTCAATTTCTTCGGGATCGACAACGTATTCGACTGTGAGTGAATAATCCGGGCCGTAGTCTCTATACTGAGGAGTCTTGAGTGTACTGAGTTGAGTAGCTGGTAGTTTGATTGACGTGCCCGAAAGAACGCCCGATAAAGTGGCATTAATGGATTTTGGGGAGGTGATGGGGAGGGTGATGTTAATTACCCAGGGCGCGCTTTGATCCGGTAACAAATTATTGCGTTGATCTAAGAGGGGCGACGCAAGCAATAGATCAGTTGTATGTTTTCTTTTTTCAAAAAAAAAGCCAACAAAATCATTAGAAATACTACATGCCTTGTCGATAGATGTCGATTACGGTCCTATGAACCCAGAGAGAAGGTGGATTGGGTGCATTGGCGGCCTTTTCAAGTTTCTTGTCGACCGGTAGAGACGAATTCTTTTGTTTTTTAGCCGTGGGCGCTTTTACCTTTGCTCGGCGTGGATCAGCCTTGGTCTGTTTGACGAGGCCAAGGTTCGATTGGGCCGGCGCAGAAAGACCGATCAAATAGGCTGGTTGTACCCTATTCTCAGGATTTTACCGAAAATACTTAGGTTGCCAACATCTAGCAGGCATTCTTGTACCGAGAAAGAGAAGAGTACTCACGGGCCAGAGGGCAGGTATGCAGGCCCTGATTAATCCAAATGCACTAGTTAGTCGCAGAGCAATTCGAATATACTAAGTGGCCTACTTACCCCAATCCCATCCAAAATCCGATTGCTGCTTACGTGCCCAATTGCGGTAGCTGTACTCAAAGGGTTGCAGGGTGGTGGTTCTTTTTTTGTCTGCTGATTTGTTTGGAAACCACATATTACCTGGCTCATGGGCCAATTTCGAGGCAGTGGAGTAGGCAGAAGCAAACCTGAGAGACAGTGGGATCGTTTGGTTCAGGGAAGATTTGATGACTTGAGTGGCTATAGTCGAACAGATCGTAACGTTGAGCAAACATTATCCATGGATCAATTTCTTCATGACACGAAACCACGAAGCTTACCATCAAATACCCAGCTTCGAAACGCGTTGTCTGTGGAGCCAATTCGGTGCCCATTTACATGGATGTCGCAGAAGGTATCAAGACCATTGAATACAAGATAAAACTGTGAGAAGTATTTTGAAAAGTTTAGGGAGGAAATCAACTGGTGATTGTTGCCGTGTTTACCATCTGTTTGACTTACGCGCTCCACCTTTGCCCATGCACCATCAGTATCGACCTTAAATTGGGTCTCCCAAGTCCAGGCTTCTTCTTCACCAACCCACCGGGTTGTGCCTTCATTCAATCCAATATTCGGATCATCGATCAGGCCAGCCTCAATGAGTGCAAGGTGTGGCTGATTTAAGAAGGGGGTAGGCACGACGATTGAGCGGTTGGCGTTGGCAAGAGACCATTTGAAAGTTGACAAGCTGGTGTGAGTGGGCGGCAAGGGTGGACCTTGCCCAGAAGCTGCGGCCAAGACTGAGAAAGGAAGGACATTCAGTGGGATGAAACAAAGAAAATATAAGGGTAGGTAATGCATGGCCAATGACCAAGTGGAATAAATGAAAAGAGATTTGGCAGGCAGTGAGGGGGGCATAGACCGAAGAGCCGCAACTATGTAGAGCCACTTTATTAGTTACTCGTTTGAGGTAAGTATCGGTGGATGTAGGTCGATTGACGAAGAAATGTCGAGAGGGCCGAGAGTCGCGTATGTTCAACAAACAACGCTTTCTCACGTTGGCTGACCTCCTGGTTTGGAAGCGAGATAGATGTAATAAAGCTGATGATGGGTTATAGATCAAGCTAGATCAAGCTGCCAAGTGTACAGAGGCATGCTGATATAAAATCAACGGGCACAATCTGGCACAATTTTGGGAGATTTTAAGGCAAGGAAAAGGAGAAGAAAAATTGAGCAAGAGCGGCTGATCTAGCGTGCCGGACTAAATGTAGACTCACCAAAATCTACGAAGATTCACATCTATGAAGGTTCAATCCTTCCGTCATTCCATCATACACAAATACATCTGTTGTGAGCTGCTACACTTTGTCTTTCCAATTTGCTATGTACGTCACCGGTCTGCTAGGGATTGCACCAGTGCGACTGCGAAGGACTTGGCCCAACGATTGCAAAATAGAACGGAACAACAAATCGGCAAAACACCCACTCGGATAAATTTTGGAAAATGATTTCAAGGGGGGCAGGAGGATGATGAGTCAATGTATATTCTTGCGTCGGCTTGAGGCTCCTAAAGGCGAAAAAGAAACCAGGTATGCCGAGAGATGGCCTATGAAAGTTGAGGCACATAAATAAGCAAGTGTCAGGTTCGGATATACATGTATTTATAGTCATACCTTAGCCCACAACAGGAGTTTTCCGGTCTCTTCTGGCAGTAGAACAATATTTAGCAGCGATCAAATCGTCGGGGCCAGGTGGCGGTGAGCTGGTCATAGGTATAATACATGTTTATCATGTCTGGAAGTGGGAAAGATCTTAAGAAAGAACGCCGACTGCGGGAGTGATTTAGTTGAGCTCACATCACATCAGAATCGGCCTAACGCGCTTGGGCGACGCGGTGCCAAAAAGGAGGATCCTAATTCCCAATGAGATCTGGAAGTTAAAGCCAGTGTGTTGAGCTTATTACCAATCGTGCTCGTTCACACATGAAGCCCTTGTGTGTTATAGCTTGACATGGAACGAAAGTCAGGAAAACCCCGACGGCAATTGCCCAGCCGGCGAAAGGAGCTGAGCTCGGCCGATGACATTGGTTTGGAACTTCTGTTATCACAGCCAATATACCTCTTGCATATCTACTGAAGCAGCACCGACTCCCAGCGTTCGGCGTGGAGTGCACATGCCTGCTTTTGCTTTTGCTTTTGGGTTTGTAACCTGAAAATAGTTCTTGTACATCAAACACATTTGCAGCGTATACGTGCAAGATCATTTAAGTCTTGGTGATGGCAATGTGTCTGGTCCCCTGGAATCAGTGGATGTGATCAAAAAGAGTTGCGAGGTGGAAAGATTTGTGCAAAATCTCAATAATTACGGTTAATAAGATTATGCATCACCTTCGACCTGTGGCCCCCGTTCACCCCCCATTCGTGAGGGGGACCCAGGCCCCCCTAAACTATACTGCTGACAGTCGTTTCAGCGCCATTTTCGATTGCGCTGAGTTCACTGGATATTCCCCTGACCCCGGCGGGCGAAGCCCGCCGAAGCTACACAACTTCAACTTCGATTTTCCCTCACTTTCGCTCTCCTCCACTCGTAAGTATCCGAGTTTTTTTTTTTTTTTTAATCCTCACGTTCTCTTTATCATTCTTCATCTTCAACAAAAGCTAACCTTCACTTTTTTTGACTCCATCAATCTATCAGCACTCGTCCGTCAGGTTCAATGCTCGATTCGATCTCCTTTTTGCATCAACTTGTGAGTATCTGAGTTTTTTTTTTTTATAATACTTGTTGATTTCACCATTGATATCAGTCTTCAATGATTTGACTAAAGATGTCTTTTTGTTATTCAGTACTCATAATCGAACAACGCGCTACAGGAGATGACCTGAACGCTCATGTTTACCGACCTTGCCAACTCATCGTTAGCAATCTCGCTTACTAGACATTAATGACTATTCCACCCATCACCGAGACCGGATGGTAGGACTATCGGCCCGATAACACCAAATTACAACTACTGGGCTTCCCCATTATACACAAACATAGCACAGGCTTCCCCAATCAACATCAACTCTTCTGTGTTGTACTTGGTTTGATCGCTAATCTTTATTTGTTTTTTTTTTATCTTTTTCTCTCATGTATTATGTTTTAACCTTAGTTACACACTGTATTGAAACCATCATTGCGATCCATGTGAATCTTGAGTGTTCTGAAAGCTGGAATGATAGCATTACCAGAAAAATAAGAAAACAGCAGAATACAAGGCCAAAAAAGAAATCTATCAAGATGTTCTCGAACACCAATTTCAAATGGTGGGCTCATGATCAGGTATGTTTTGTAAATCGGCTTGCCCCAACAGGGATGCGAGTACACCAGGATCTAAGTATTCGTCGTTATTATCCCTGTTCCCGTTTTGAGGCTCATCCCCATCGTCAGATTCATCATCTGATGGCATGTTGGTCTGGTCCGATACTCCATTTGACTCAGACCCAAGTGCCAACCGACTGGATTGCACTAGATCAAGCCAATCTGTGTACACTGTGTAGCCGATTCCCATGCCCCCTTCTCCTAGTGTATCAAACAACCACTTCACATCATCCTCCCAGTCCAAAAGAAGCCCCTGGTGACTACGCAATTCTCGGAACAGCTCTGACTTGATCAAGGCGAGTTTTGTCCAGACTGCCCAGTTTCCCAATGTTATCGATGTAAATGTGCTAATTGAAATCGACAAATTCTCATTGGGGTTATCCACACTAGTCATGAGAGCCTCTATAAGTTTAAGTCAGCCAGATATTTAGTCAAGATCGAAATTGTACATCATCAGATACTCACCGATATCACAAATCTTTTCTTTGATGCACTTATTGAGCTCAATTGCCCATGAGACAGCACAAACTACCTCATGTGCCAGGATTTTTAATTCTTCCGTGGCCCGTTCAAACCTATGCACTGCTTGAATTCCATTCCGAACATCTGGACTGATGGCCCACGGTGCATTCGAGTGAAAGAAGTTCATGTCTTGCCAGAAGACATCATCAAGGCTAAGGCTTTCAAACTGACCATAGGTCAGGGGTTGATTGTCGGGATGGTTGATCTGATCAGGTTGGAATTTGGTCAAGTACTCGCTCCGATACTTGTTGAACCTTTTGAGGATAGTCTCCACCGGTCCCTTGCGTCGCTGAATGGCTTTGATAATTCTTGATGCCAGAGCTGTTCCAATGTGTGTCCCACGGTAGAGAGGCTGTCGCTCGGCATGTAGTTGTACTGCCTGCTCAAAAAGTTGTGATTTTGCCTTCCAAACCAGAAGAATCGCTTTCTGCATTTCACCTGTTTCCCAATATCCAATCCCTCAAAAAATGCACATCTTATGACAGTTGATATGAAGTTCTAAACTTACTGTTACGTCCAGTCAAATTCCAAGCTTCAGCACCTAAGATTTCGGCATCGTTTGATTGATTTTGTTCTTCCTGTTGCAACGCATTAAGTGTCTCGATTATGTCTCCAGGAAGATTGAAGTTGCTTGCATCATTAAGTGATGTCCTAGAATTAAACACAAAAAAATCAGGTGATATACAATAATTTCAAGGTGTGGTAAATCAAAATGCATTACCTTAGCTGATCCAACATCCTCTCTCGCTCAAAGAACAATGCCAATCTTTCATTTCTCTCGGTTTCTGCATCAGAGTGCGTCTTCTGGAAATCCACTTGGTCGGACCACTGAGATTTGAAGAATTCGCTTGTGTAGTTTGATGGTTCTGGTACAAATGGATTGACCATAGAAAGTAAGGTTGATAGTTTTTCCTGGGATTGCTGTTTTCGCTCCTCAGCAACAACAAATTTGTGACGAATCCCGGATACTATCAATTTGAAATGAGTTCATTTAATTCTAACAATACTGATGCAAAAAAATCCAATAGGGACTTACTTAATCGGTTGATTCCTTGCAAGTTGTGGAAATCGATCAGATGTGAAAGGGCGCCAAGGCGATGGTTTCTGGTAGAATACCGCAAGGAGCTCACTAAAGGGGATAGATAGGACCAAAGCCTCTCTAAACCCTCACCATCTGAAAATCCCCAACCCTCATTGAAGCGAGGACTGTATTCGATCTGACATTTCCAGTTGTGGACATAAGAGTGAAACACACTTGTTCCAAATGCAAAGCGAGCTCGATCTTGAGGAAAGAGATTCCTCTAGGATTTTTCCCAGCAAAAGAGTAATTTCAGAAAAACAATCTTTGGAAGATGGGCGATGCCTTCTTTTGGAAGATGGTGCAAGAACAAATAATGACACAAATACATACTGTTTCAATAAACTTTTTGAGGGTACAGCCTATGTCATAAAGCACCCTTAATGGTCTGTTTTGTTGTACTTCCGAAGTGATTTGCTTGATGAGAGCCATCGGGTAGCTACGATTTTCACCTTCAGCATGGATGTTTGCCAAGTAAACAGCTGAGTCGTGCCTGCAGCAGCAGCCCATAATACCAGTATCATCACACAGTTTCCATGTTCCCTCGTTTCGCTTGTCGTCTGCTGCTTTATGGGAATCGGAACACTTATCCCTCTGATGCAAGAACCAAGAAGCAGCATGAGAATTATGGATATTGTAGTGAAATATTGGTTACAGATTACATACAGTGTTCCAAACATTGTTTAGTTGCTCCTGTTCTTTGATTTCGCCTTTCATATCTCTGATCTCACCTGGTTCAAGAAAGATGTTTGGTGTGACTAGTGGCTCGTAGTTCTTGCTGCCCAACTTGTGATGCCGATGCTGGAAATTTCCATCCAGGCAGATGAAAAGTGGCCTTTCTGTTGATTCGTTGGTTGGGTTGATGGAGGGGCCAAAGCATGCTGGACAGGCTCTTCCGGCAAGAATTTGAAGTCGACTCAAGTTCAAGGTTTCTGATACCATTTTTTTGGTCATCTCAAGCATTTTGCGATAAATATCGACCGATTGGGTGAACTGCTTTCGGAGAGATCGTTTCTAAAATAGGCATACAAATTTGTAAAACTTTCCAAAGTATTTGAGTGGTAATAAAATACAATCACCTTTCCACTTGGAGTCAATAGGGGGGCTGAACGCTCCTCCAACCAGCATCTTAACATTCCCATGAATGGGAAATAGCCAACTCGACACCATTGCCACAAATGATTGTGGAAACCAAGAAGCTGCATTGAGAAGGCGGTTTGAGGTGTACATGGGGAGCTGGCTAAGTAACCCATTGCAAGCAGACGAATCGGATCTGGAACACATTTACAGAATTTTACTTCGACTCGCTTTTGACCTAACAGGATGGACAGAAGACTATCTCAGGATCTTATTGGCATGAATTAATGCGTTGAAGGATGGAAAATTTACTCACAAGTGAGATCCACCAAGTCTACAGGACGGGTTGAGGTAGATTGTGCAGAACATTGACAAAAGTACTCAAGAAAGTCATCAAATGATTTGTCATTTGACCAGTTTTGAGTTTGATCCTTGAGCCAAACGTATGCGCCATGGAGCTTTGGGTTAAGTTCGTCCCAGTTTTTTAAGGCTCTATCCGCTCGGGATTGTTGTCGTACTTGTCGGTGGTAGTCAAAAATGGACTGCAGAAGTGGATTTGCAGGCAAATCATTTGATGTTGAATCGGTTGTGCCATTTGGTATTGAAATCTCGGGTGCAGTTGTGCTTTCGTCTTGTTCATTTTCATCCAAATCTTCTTCTTCATCTTCAGGATCTTGAAATGGGTTCTGGTCAGGGTTACTGAAATCTTCTGGATACTGAACACTCCGTGATGCTTCCTCAAGTCGATCTGATTCAATTAAGAGCTGAGCAACGTTTAAACTATTGCGAGGTTTCTTCCGACGTGGCTGGTCAAAAACACAAGAGCGATGCCTAGCCATTGCTATTTGGATTGGATTGATTGAAATTAATTTTAGCTGATTTGATAATTCAGATAATAAAATTCTCAGGTAAGAGCAGTTGGCAGACCATTCAAATGGTGTGAAACCATCCTTGTCATCCACACCATCAGTCCGTCCGATAGGTTTTATTTGCCACTGAAGGTTTTTTTCTCCCCCTGCATGAAATGAGATCAGTAAGGGTCTAGTCATTAAAACTAGCCATATTTCCTCAAATCTGTATGCTACAGATGGATTGATTCTGGCTTGCATGGTTCTATTAATCAACTAAAAAAAATCAAACATTTAGTAATTTGAATTTGAAATGTGAACCGTCCTAATTCATTGAAAATGAAAACTGTTAATTTTGGATTTGTCACATTCAAAAACTTGATTCCCTTATGCTTGGTTAGTGCTTACAATTCAGGTTTCCTATTATCCTTGGAAAGCACTTTGTCCAAGATGCAACTTGTGGTGGAGTTTCTTTCACCCCTATATTAAGTTTGAAAACTCTCACAACATATATCTCTACTTTGGAAGGGAATCACATTCATAAAAAGTTTTGGCTAGATAAAATATAAAATTTCAGTTGAAATAATGAAAAGATAAAAGAAATAACAAAATATGAAGAAATAATAAAATGAAGTGTTACCTAGATAAAACAGGAAACACACTATGGATGATAAGATATAAAGAAGAGAAATGAAACTGTTGACAACCAGGTTAAAAGACTTAAATAGATAAAAAACAGATAGAAACATGTACTCAACACAGTCATAAGAATAAAGGAGAGAAGAGAATAAGAACCTCTGAAAGTCAGCCTAGATGTAAAGATCCTTGGCAAAGTTGGAAACTACAATAATATGCTTGATGATTATTTGAGTAATGGAGAAGGATAAAGAAATAGATAAATGATATAGGTAATAAGACAATGAGATGTTGAATTTGAACTCAAAGAAGTTAATGAAAAGATGTTCTTCAAACAGAATGTGGTCAACAGAATGGTCAACAGATTGTAAAGGAAAAATGACAACAGTGGTCAACCATACAAGCTGTGTAAGATCACACTCCTATGACATCATAAGATGTATGTACACCATTGTGACCAAATTTCAACAATTCAATACCCCAAATTGATGAAAAGGATTGAAAATAGTTATTTGTAAGAAACCTAATTGCAGTGGCAATGTTGCATTAAGATATACCTGTAACCCAACTACTTGTATAGATGTTTATACAAAATCCCATCTCTTTTGTTCATGCTCTCAAAAAATTGATACTTAGAATAGTGTAATGATTTAGCAAGCACCCATTTCCCTAGCTAGGTACTATTAACCATTGGGAAAGTTAAGATTCATCATGATGGTCAATGGAATGTTTGTAGTTTTAAACAGCACATATATAAAAATATTGCAGTAAAAACTCAATATTTAAATGAAGGGTACCCCTAAATTATATATATTATATATACTTTGTGTTTTGAAAAATTTGAATGGTCTTTCTGTGAGTCCTGTGAAGAAGCCAACTAATTGTTTGAAGAATTCAAGGTAAAGCTCAAATAGATATAATATAATTATATGGATTATATCTCAACTTTAATATTATCACTTGAATTTATTTATTTTCCCAATTTAAATATCTTCTAGTCACTCTTTCATCTTTCCTATTTCACTCATAATAATGGTGCTGGAGGTATACCTCAGGTCACATATCAAAAGCCCATCAAAATGGAACTCATATTTTCAGCTTGAAGTTGAAGTAAAAAATGTAGGATTACAAACATTAATTTTTCATCTCATCTAATGCATCTGAGGGGTAAAATATAAAAAACAATCAAGGACATTACTGACTGATGCTTCTTTTAATTGAAAAATGGAGAAAAATAAGAAGTGAAGAGCTGGTCCTAGTAGTGGGTTAATAATAAGATTTTTGGATTCCTGAATACAGCTTAAATGTTTCATTTTACACATAGCACAAAGGGCCCATCAAGTGCTTACAGCTAGAGCTTTGAATTCTCACATTTTTGAGGCAAAAAACGGCTAACATCTCAAATCATGAATGCTGATTCTCTTGAAATTTGTAACATCTTCCTGGGAAATACAAGTGATGAATGCTGATTCTCTTGAAATTTGTAACATCTTCCTGGGAAATACAAGTGATGTAATACCCATTGGTGGATTGACTTTTCTATGGGTTATGACAGGTGATGGGTAATGCCAGTTGCCCCTCATCACCCATACACTAACCCATACCTTTCAAGACCCATAAAATGTGTGGTTTTGGACAGGTATCTGCAAAGAAACCTTTGAAGACCCATAAAATGTATGGTTTTGGACAGGTATCTGCAAATGAGGTGTTGTTGTGACCCACGGTCCCAGTGGTACCACTGGGAAAATGTATGGGCTTGAGCAGGAAAATTCTGGTTTGGGAGACCAAAGTCCTATGTATTACAGGGGAGGGCAGGTTTATGGGACCCCTTTTTTGGCTGGCCCCAAATTGGGAGACCCAAGTCTCTATGGGTTTGGAGGGGTTATGAGAGATACCTGTCCAAAACCACACATTTTAGGGGTCTTCAAAGGTATGGGTTAGTGTATGGGTTATGAGGGGCAACTGGCATTACCCATAACCTGTCATAACCCATAGAAAAGTCAATCCAACAATGGGTATGGGTTAGGACAATTTCTACTGTATTTTATTTTCATGTTCTCCAGAAATCCAAGAAGAGATGAAATTACACAATAAGTATTCTATTCCTCTGAGTCCTGAAGTTCATCTAGCATCTACTGTCAAAACAGCATCTCAAATTATATTGCATTAATTTCTAAACTAGTTAGAGCATCCGCATCGGTGCGCGGATTAGGGAGGATTAGCCAACTAATCTAATCCTCCCAACCGCACCGGGTCGGATTAGATCGAACTAAACTAGCTCCAGGATCACGTTTGGAGCTAGCGGGTATCAAACTTATACCCCAGTAATCCCAAGAACATGCACCTCCAACTTCCCTTGGATTAAGCTAGATTAACACTTCTCATTTCAAACTCACCACTACACAACTCCACCAACATGGCACCTAGACGATTGATACACAACTCCTAATCAAACAACCGAAACTCCCAATCAATCAAACAAAAAAAAACTCACAATCAAACAACCAAACCTCCCAAGCAAACTGCCAAACCTCCAAAGTGAACAAACAAACTAGGTTGAACCTGTACCAAAACACCATCGTTGACCTGGCTTCCAAAGCAGCAAACAGTAAACAAAAATGATTACCGAATTCCTCTTGGGAGTCCAGAGGAAGACAAACGACTTGCAAAGAGCTGGTCAGTTATCACCAGCAATCCAATCTACTCCAACGATCAAACCAAAGAGGCATTCTGGAACCGAGTTGCAGAGGATTACAACAAGTTTATGGGTGGTCCTTGTTATGACAAACATTTCATATACACTGATCCTTTGATGTTGATTATTGTGTGATGTTTCTTTTTCTTAATGTTGATATCAATTAAAAGCTCATGCAAGTGTGCCATGTCTTTTTTTCTTGGAATCTCAAGAAGAAATTCACTTATCAGATTTTATTAGAAGAAATAACTCAGGATGAAATTGAACTCGCTTCAATGTCAACTGCTAATTTAAGATATATTGACATATGGATAGCTAAACAACTGACTTTGGAAACTGGTTAGTGATTTGTAGGGTCAAACAGGAGGATGAACAGACAAGTTGTCAAAGAAGAGAACAGAAGATGAAAAAAAGATGTTGAAAAAGAGAACAGAAGAGCAAAAAACATCTCAAAAAAGAGATTGAAAGAGGAAAAAAAAGCAAAGTTGTTAATTGTCTTCATCATCGCTGCTGAAAATTGAGTATTCTTGACGGCTCTTGTTCCACAAATGCTGAATCAGATCATCGGTCAAGTGGCAGGATTTCTAGCTCGGAAATTGCTAGAATCGAGAAAAGCAGCTATTTGAAGTCGTTGTCCATGAGGTTCTGGGTGGAAAGACGGCTCCGTTCAATGTTCTGTATTGTGATGAAGTCGGATTCTGGAAATGTAATGTGATCGTCCGGCATAGTCGTTTGAGGATGATTACCGATGAGGTTGACAGGAATAGTTCAAGGATTAGTTTTGAGTACTTTTGTCTAGTGCCAACCGATGTGTTTGAAGGCCTGGATTAGTGTTAATCCAGGTTTAACTTGATCCTTAATCTGTGCGGTAATCTGCGCACCGATGCGGATGCTCTTAAAAGCTTGCAGTCAACCTTTCTTTAGGTATTATCAGCAAATCCCTGAACCTGAAGAGCCCTTGAAATTCTCAAAACTTATCAGCATCCTGTTTTATAGACAGCAACCCATCAAGGTAGTTCTTACTCAATTCCTAAAAATTAACCACACAGGCTTTCACAGGCAAAGCTTCAACCTAGGAAATTGTTGTTGAAATTTTCCACATAACATCTTCCCTGTCAACTCCCGTCTCTTGTGTGACTAGGAGTTGATGGTGATATGGGTCACACTATTGTTGTTTACACAACGTAGTGGAAAAGGGTCGCACTATTGTTGATTAATCAACGTAGTGGAATTAACCTCTTCAGTATACTAGAGTATGTGAAGGGCTGCTCCTTATTGTTATAAGGGACGACAGCGGAACAACTTCGCTGCGCCAGGCTTAAGAGAAGAGAGAAACAGTTACTAGTCTAGTTACAAAGGTTAACCGTAACAGACTAGTACTAATTAAACGGAATAGAGTACTATGTAATATAAAGTATACTAGATTATAAACCCCACTCACTTATTATACTGGTTGTAAATAGGTAAGGATAGCGGGTTTGTATGTTAATCTCTGGGGGAAAGGAATCCTAGAGGGATAGCCTTCCTCCTTAAGTATTACAGAGCAGAGGTCAGTCTGCTTGTAGGACCGGTACAGTCCCCATAAGGTTATGCTATTTCTTTGGGGAGAAATGTCAAGAAGATTAAAGTACATGTGAGGAAAATCTCTCTTATTTCAGAA